ATCATCTGTATGATACACTAAGGCCTGGACTGATATTACCTGTCCAACAAAATATCATCTGTATGATACACTTAGGCCTGGACTAAGATTACCTGTCGAACAAAATATCATCTGTAGGATGCACTAAGGCCTGGACTGATATTACCTGTCCAATAAAACATCATCTGTATGATACACTAAGGCCTAGACTAATATTACCTGTCCAACAAAACATCATCTGTATGATACACTAAGGCCTGGACTGATATTACCTGTCCAACAAAATATCATCTGTATGATACATTAAGGCCTGGACTGATATTACCTGTCCAACAAAATATCATCTGTATGATACATTAAGGCCTGGACTGATATTACCTGTCATACAAAATATCATCTGTATGATACAATTAGGTCTGAACTGATATTACCTGTCCAACAAAACATCATCTGTATGATACACTAAGGCCTGGACTGATATAACCTGTCCAGCAAAATATCATCTGTATGATACACTAAGGCCTGGACTAATATTACCTGTCCAACAAAATATCATCTGTATGATACAATTAGGTCTGAACTGATATTACCTGTCCAACAAAACATCATCTGTATGATACACTAAGGTCTTGACTGATATTACCTGTACAACAAAACATCACCTGTATGATACACTAAGGCCTGGACTGATATTACCTGTACAACAAAATATCATCTGTATGATACACTTAGGCCTGGACTAATATTACCTGTCCAAAAAAATATCATCTGTATTATACACTAAGGCCTGGACTGATATTACCTGTCCAACAAAACATCATCTGTATGATACAATTAGGCCTGGACTAATATTACCTGTCTGACAAAATATCATCTGTATGATACAATTAGGTCTGGACTGATTTTACCTGTATAACCCATCAGTTATGCATACTGATTTTACCTGTATAACCCATCAGTTATGCATACTGATATTACCTGTATAACCCATCAGTTACGCATACTGATATTACCTGTATAACCCATCAGTTACCCATTCTGATTTTACCTGTATAACCCACCAGTTGCCCATACTGATTTTTCCTGTATAAACCATCAGTTACACATTCTGATTTTACCTGTATAACCCTTAGGCCTGGACTAAGATTACCTGTCGAACAAAATATCATCTGTATGATACACTAAGGCCTGGACTAATATTACCTGTCTGACAAAATATCATCTGTATGATGCAATTAGGTCTGGACTGATATTACCTGTCCAACAAAACATCATCTGTATGATACACTAAGGCCTGGACTGATATTACCTGTCCAACAAAACATCATCTGTATGATACAATTAGGTCTGGACTGATATTCCCTGTATAACCCATCAGTTATGCATACTGATTTTACCTGTATAACCCTTAGGCCTGGACTAAGATTACCTGTCGAACAAAATATCATCTGTATGATACACTAAGGCCTGGACTGATATTACCTGTACAACAAAACATCACCTGTATGATACACTAAGGCCTGGACTGATATTACCTGTCCAACAAAACATCATCTGTATGATACACTAAGGTCTTGACTGATATTACCTGTACAACAAAACATCACCTGTATGATACACTAAGGCCTGGACTGATATTACCTGTCCAACAAAACATCATCTGTATGATACAATTAGGCCTGGACTAATATTACCTGTCTGACAAATTATCATCTGTATGATACAATTAGGTCTGGACTGATATTACTTGTATAACCCATCAGTTACGCATACTGATTTTACTTGTATAACCCATCAGTTACGCATTATGATTTTACCTGCATAACCCATCAGTTACACAAACTTATATGACCTGTATAAACCATCAGTTACACATACTGATTTTACCTGTATAACCCATCACTTACACATACTGATATTACCTGTATAACCCATCACTTACCCATACTGATATTACCTGTATAACCCATCAGTTACACATACTGATTTTACCAGTATAACCCATCAGTTACACATAGTGATTTCACCTGTATAACCCATCAGTTACACATACTGATTTCACCTGTATAACCCATCAGTTACACATACTGATATTACCTGTATAACCCATCACTTACCCATACTGATATTACCTGTATGACCCATCAGTTAACCATACTGATATTACCTGTATAACCCATCAGTTACACATGCTGATTTTACCTGTATAACCCATCAGTTACACATGCTGATTTTACCTGTATAACCCATCAGTTACACATACTGATATTACATGTATAACCCATCAGTTACACATACTGATTTAACCTGTATAACCCATCAGTTACGCATACTGATTTTTCCTGTATAACCCATCAGTTACCCATACTGATTTTACCTGTATAACCCATCAGTTACCCATACTGATATTACCTGTATAACCCATCATTTACACATACTGATTTTACCTGTATAAACCATCAGTTACACATACTGATTTTACCTGTATAACCCATCAGTAACACATACTGATATTACCTGCATAACCTATCAGTTACACATACTGATTTTACCAGTATAACCTATCAGTTATGCATACTGATTTTACCTGTATAACCCATCAGTTACCCATACTGATTTTACCTGTATAACCCATCAGTTACGCATACTGATTTTACCTGTATAACCAATCAGTTACGCATACTGATTTTACCTGTATAACCAATCAGTTACGCATACTGATTTTACCTGTATAACCCATCAGTTCCACATACTGATTTTACCTGTATAACCCATCAGTTACACTTACTGATTTCACCTGTATAACCCATCAGTTACACATACTGATTTTACCTGTATAACCCATCAGTTACCAATACTGAATGTTTTTAAATTATGGGGCATTACTCAATCAATAGTTATATCTCATTTATTTATTAACCCCCCTCAATGTAATAACATTTTGTATCCAACCAAGACAGTTCTTAGGTAGGAGAATTGTTAACAATGATTTTAAACAAAGGGGCATAAGTAGGAGAGGGAAGTATAATTTATATACTTTATACATATTCCCGTGATGTAAGGGTTCTGTGTATCAGGAAAGGGGCACTACTCCATAAATAGTGAAATTAACTTCAATTTATAATTCACATCCTCTTGATTAAAGGGTTCTGTGTAATAAATATCATTTAAATCAGTGCAATGGTTAAGAAGGGGTGGTACAAACATTTTTTTTAAACAAAGTATGATAATGAAATAAACGGATAAGGTAACTCTAATTTATATTCTTTATTTACATCCCCTCAATGTGAGGGTTCTCTGTACCAAGCATAATGCAAATTGGTGCATTACTTCCAAAGGAGAAGTGGCAACAATTTTTCAAAACAAAGGGGCATAACTCCATGAAGGAGGGAAGTAACTACATCTATATATCCCCTTGGTGTTATTAGGGCTCAGTACCAAACACCATTTTAATTGGTGCAGCAGTTTTAGAGTCCTTTGTTATGAGGGTTTATCTATCAGATATTTGTTGATTTGAGACAGATATAAGATGTTATAAATTATAGTTATTTCTACTGCTGGTACCAGGGCAATTTAGACATGTACGTACCCACTGCCAATCTTTCAATTTCATTGACCTTAAGTTCCCTAGTCTGATCCTCAGCTTCATCCTTGTTCTCTGCCTGACCAGGAACTGGGCGGTCTGTTAGCTTCCTGTAGTTAAGAGCATCCCGCGACACCAATTTTTGTACCAACTTGCGCACCTGTAACACAGAACCACAACTGTCTGAGCTACCTGTCCTCAGTACACATGCTTTAATCAAGCCTAAGGTTAAATAGGTTTTGAATTTGATTTCCTCAAAGTAAATACAGCTTCCATACTAGAAAAGAGGCGTAGGGGCCTGACTAACTCACCTGCTATTTATTTAGAACTTTTTCTAGGTGTATGTCCAATATGATACATGTGTTTCAAAAGACCAAAACAACACAAGCTGCAAATTAACTGGCAGAAATAGAAACAAAAATTACTTTAATTCCTATATATATAAGGCCTCAAATCCTACATTAGCCACTGTTATATTTGATTTCCACTATTAAATCACCACCATGTGGCTTCTGCCCACATAGTTCTGTTGACCACAGGATGCTCTGTACCCATTTTAAAATACATTAAGTCTTCATTGTCCAATTATCCTTTATATCACATTAAATTAATATCCTCTGTACGAAAGGAATGCATTACATATCCCTACTTCCCCTGCCTTTCTCTGTCCCTTTGTCCCATCAGGGGGCTATATCCTTAAGTTATACTTAACGAAGTCCCCTTCACCCAGGCATTCTTTATACCAAATTAGGTTAAAATACTTGGCCCATGGATCCTTTACATCGCTTTCATTAAAATGCCTCTACCCATACTGAGGGAGTAGAACTTTAAAGCATTTACCCTTATTTGGCTCTGCTCCTCTGCCTCAATGGAAGCCACACATTCTGTTCATTCATACTTGTGGAGACCTATTGTGTCTATCCTTATATAATAAAGCTGTAGATCAATAGTAAGATTATTGTCCAAGCCTAAGATAGCTACAGGGTGTACAATTTCATATTCAGAATACTAGTCTGCAGGTCGACTTTGAACATTTCTACTAACCAGACCAAATTTCATAAAGTAAATACTGTATATTTTCAACATCTGCTAAAATCTACTAGCCATCAGCAGTGAGCAAGTGGAATTATACATCCCTGTACTGATAGTAAGAGATATTACCTGAGCCTGAGATAGCTAAGTGAGATATTACCTGAGTCTGAGATAGCTAAGTGAGATATAACCTGGGCCTGAGATAGCTAAGTGAGATATTCCCTGAGCCTGAGATAGCTAAGTGAGATATTACCTGAGCCTGAGATAGCTATGTGAGATATTACCTGGGCCTGAGATAGCTAAGTGAGATATTACCTGAGCCTGATATAGCTAAGTGAGATATTACCTGAGCCTGAGATAGCTATGTGAGATATTACCTGAGCCTGATATAGCTAAGTGAGATATAACCTGGGCCTGAGATAGCTAAGTGAGATATATCCTGAGCCTGAGAAAGCTAAGTGAGATTTACCTGAGCCTGAGATAGCTAAGTGAGAAATTACCTGAGCCCGAGACAGCTGTAGGCCAATGGTATGGACGATTTCCTCTACATCTTTGTCCAGTAGATAGCCTGTGTGGTTCTGGTCAAAGTAGGTAAATGCCAGCAGCACATCCTTGTCCTTAGTAAATAATTTCTTTTTTTCCTTCTTCTTCTCCTTCTTATCTGTAATATAACTTCATAGGTCAGAGATAGACTTAAACTATAAAGCCTCAAACTAAAGTGGAATTAACACTAACTCAAATTTATATAATCCACCACCCGCATAGTTACTTGATTGACCTCTCAACAAAGTGGGGATATAAACAAATGGCTGGGAGACTCAATTACTTGTAGATCAGACACAGGATTATATGTGTAATTTATGTGCATAACAGATTCTGACTGATCCGAATAAAGCTCTTACAAAGTCAAGGTCACATAACAGATTCTGACCAGTGCAAATAAAGCTTTCTCTCACAGGATATAACAATAAGACAACTGGGTGGTAAAACAGTATAATATCTTCTTGAGGACAATAAGAAAGCTAAGAGGTGAGACGGCCAGTACAGTATCTATTTGAGGACAATAAGAAAGCTAGGAGGTGAGACAGCCTGTACAGTATCTATTTGAGGACAATAAGAAAGCTAGGAGGTGAGATGGCCAGTACAGTATCTATATGAGGACAATAAGAAAGCTAGGAGGTAGAACAGTACAGTATCTATTTGAGGACAATAAGAAAGCTAGGAGGTAGAACAGGAACAGTACAGTATCTATAGGAGGATAATAAGAAAGTTAGGAGGTAGAACAGTACAGTATCTATATGAGGATAATAAGAAAGTTAGGAGGTAGAACAGTACAGTATCTATAGGAGGACTATAAGAAAGCTAGGAGGTAGAACAGTACAGTATCTATAGGAGGAAAATAAGAAAGCTAGGAGGTAGAACAGTACAGTATTTATTTGAGGACAATAAGAAAGTTAGGAGGTAGAACAGTACAGTATCTATAGGAGGACTATAAGAAAGCTAGGAGGTAGAACAGTACAGTATCTATTTGAGAACAATAAGAAAGTTAGGAGGTAGAACAGTACAGTATCTATTTGAGAACAATAAGAAAGTTAGGAGGTAGAACAGTACAGTATCTATTTGAGGATAATAAGAAAGCTAGGAGGGAGAAGAGTACAGTATCTATTTGAGGACAATAAGAAAGCTAGGAGGTAGAAGAGTACAGTATCTATTTGAGGACAATAAGAAAGTTAGGAGATAGAACAGTACAGTATCTATTTGAGGACAATAAGAAAGCTAGGAGGTGAGACGGCCAGTACAATATCTATTTGAGGACAATAAGAAAGTTAGGAGATAGAACAGTACAGTATCTATTTGAGGACAATAAGAAAGCTAGGAGGTGAGACAGCCTGTACAGTATCTATTTGAGGACAATAAGAAAGCTAGGAGGTAGAAGAGTACAGTATCTATTTGAGGACAATAAGAAAGCTAGGAGGTGAGACAGCCTGTACAGTATCTATTTGAGGACAATAAGAAAGCTAGGAGGTGAGACAGCCTGTACAGTATCTATTTGAGGACAATAAGAAAGCTAGGAGGTAGAACAGTACAGTATCTATAGGAGGACAATAAGAAAGCTTTGACGTAGGACAGCAGTTAATGAAGTATCTATTTATACTATTTACTTTTTTCATCTCCTTCCTCTTCCCCGTCATTATCATCAGCTTTGTCTTCTTTTTTGTCTCCATCACTTTTCTTGTCATCATCCTTTTTCCTGTCCTTGTCCTGCGTACAATATAAGTACAAGTGACTCTGAGTTATCCATATTTAAAGTTCCCAGCTCTACACCAGATAATTTCTTTTGCCCAAGACAATGTTGTGCAGTTAAAATAAATCCACAAACCTGTATATATATATACTTGGGTAGTAGACCAGATCTTTATACGTGTATATGATCATTTTCAAGCCAGTGTATTTCGATTTTTGGCAAAGTACTATTTCAAAACCATTTACCTGAAGGACCAGTGCTTTTGATAGTATTGTCATGAAGTAGTTTGATAATGAGTATCACATTTGACAGATTTGGAATATCTTATCTTCAGTATTAGTATTTTACCAGATTTCTCATTTAATTTTAAAATCTTGATTAAATGTCCTATGAAGTAACAATGACAACACATATAATCTGTCTGTGAATTGTTTACAAAATGCACAAGTCAGAGAACCACAGGTTGTCTCCCTTGAAATGTTAACGCCAGACTTTTTACCTTCTTCTCGCTGTCCTTTCGATCTTTTTCATCAGTCTTTTTCTTCTTGCTGCTGCTACTTCCATCCTAAAAAGTTGTAATAGTATAAATTGTAATAGTACACAATGTAATAGTATACACTGTAATAGTATAAATTGTAATAGTACACATTGTAATAGTACATACTGTAATGGTATACATTGTAATAGTATACATTGTTATAGTATAAATTGTTATACATTGTAATAGTATACATTGTGATACATTGTTATAGTATACATTGTAATAGTATACATTGCAATAGTACACATTGTAATAGTATACATTGTTATACATTGTAATAGTATACATTGTGATACATTGTAATAGTATACATTGTAATAGTATACATTGCAATAGTTTACATTGTAATAGTATACATTGCAATAGTACACATTGTAATAGTATACATTGTTATAAATTGTAATAGTACACATTGTAATAGTGTACATTGTAATAGTATACATTGTTATACATTGTAATAGTAAAAATTGTAATGATATACATTGTTATAGTATACATTGCAATAGTACACATTGTAATAGTATACATTCTAATAGTATACATTATAACAGTACAATTGTGATAGTATACATTGTAATAGCATACATTGTTATAGTACAAATGTAATAGTAAACATTGCACTATTACAATTGTAATAGTATACATTGTAATAGTACACATTGTGATAGTATACATAGTAATAGTACACATTGTAATAGTATACATTGTAACAGACATTGTAATAGTATACATTGCAATAGTACACATTGTAATAGTATACACTGTTATAGACATTGTAATAGTATACATTGTAATAGTATACATTGTACCATTATACATTGTACTATTACAATTGTAATAGTATACATTGTAATATTACACATTGTGATAGTATACATTGTAATAGTACACATTGTAATAGTATACATTGTAACAGACATTGTAATAGTATACATTGCACTAGTATACATGGTAATAGTATACACTGTAATAGACATTGTAATAGTATACATTGTAATAGTATACATTGTAATAGTACACATTGTAATAGTATACATTGCAATAGTACACATTGCAATAATACACATTGTAATAGTATACATTGCACTTGCTTTGCTTACATGAAAATAGAGCATTTACCAAGGAAATGAATCCAAACATAAAAGTCTTACCAAAGTCATTGAAGCAGAAAATATAGGTAACATTGACCATGACTCCATATGCCAGTGTTCTTTTTTGGATGCATTTAATTATTCAGTCTGATTACTAACATCCAAAACAATCACTTAATGCCCTTCACTATATAGTGGAGGCATAACTATAGTACAAATGAACTGTTATACTCTTAAGTTTTATTTTAACATATCTTTCCAGTATGCTGATAAAAACCAAGACTTCCCAGAAGAAAAATGCGAAGACCATCCCTACCTTGGTGGACTTGTCATCTGTCTTTTTGTCTTTGTCTTTTTTCTCCTCCTCCTTCTTCTTCTCTTTTTTTTCCTCCTCCTTTTTCTCAGGGGCCTTAACCAGTACTTTGTAAATCTCAAACCCAAAGTCACGCATCAACATCTCATTGAAGAGCTCCGCAAATATGGACACCTGGAACACAAATCTTAATACGATACAGTCAGCAATCTGGTGTTACATATTAACAACTGTTCCCTGGTGGTACATATAAACAACTGTTCCCTGGTGTTACATATAAACAACTGTTCCTGGTGTTACATATAAACAACTGTTCCCTGGTGTTACATATAAACAACTGTTCCCTGGTGTTACATATAAACAACTGTTCCCTGGTGTTACATATAAACAACTGTTCCCTGGTGTTACATATAAACAACTGTTCCCTGGTGTTACATATAAACAACTGTTCCCTGGTGTTACATATAAACAACTGTTCCCTGGTGTTACATATAAACAACTGTTCCCTGGTGGTACATATAAACAACTGTTCCCTGGTATTATATATAAACAACTGTTCCCTGGCATGGGGTTACATATAAACAACTGTTCCCTGGTGTTACATATAAACAACTGTTCCCTGGTGTTACATATAAACAACTGTTCCCTGGTGTTACATATAAACAACTGTTCCCTGGTGTTACATATAAACAACTGTTCCCTGGTGGTACATATAAACAACTGTTCCCTGGTATTATATATTAACAACTGTTCCCTGGCATGGGGTTACATATAAACAACTGTTCCCTGGTATTATATATAAACAACTGTTCCCTGGTGTTACATATAAACAACTGTTCCCTGGTGTTACATATAAACAACTGTTCCCTGGTGTTACATATAAACAACTGTTCCCTGGTGTTACATATAAACAACTGTTCCCTGGTGTTACATATAAACAACTGTTCCCTGGTGGTACATATAAACAACTGGTCCCTGGTATTATATATAAACAACTGTTCCCTGGCATGGGGTTACATATAAACAACTGTTCCCTGGTATTATATATAAACTGTTCCCTTGTGTTACATATAAACAACTGTTCCCTGGTGTTACATATAAACAACTGTTCCCTGGCATGAGGTTACATATAAACAAGCACTATGTTTTAATAAACCTTTAAGGTAACACTATATAATGGTACAGAGTACACACCTCAAATGAGTGTTCCTTGTTATCCTCCGGTCGGTAATCCAATAGAACACTCAGGGACATGATAGCACAGTCAAACTTGCCGCTCTTGGCTGTGGGGTGGGGGTGCACTACAATAGCTGGGTCATCAGGAAGGACATACTTCCTCTCCAATGAAACTTTCTCTCTCTCCTTCTTCTTTTCCTCTTCCTCCTGGAATTCCAGAGACAATCATTTATCAACAACAAACTTGTAATACTCAATATATGTGAATTTCAACAATCTCAGCTTTCCTCATTTTTATAAACCTAAATGGTCCATTATTGAAGCTTATTTGAATATGGAAAAAACAAACTTATACAAATTAATTTCCTAACCTGATCCTTTCTTTAATATAAATATTACCTCTTTCTTCTTCTCTTCAGTTTTCTCCTCTGGCTCCTGTGACTTTTTTGTGTCCTCTGGTACTTCTTCCTCCTAAACATATACAATTGTACCATCAGCAATAATCAAAGGTGTGTTACAGACAGCTGAAGTTGTGAAGGACAACATATAAAATACCTGGTAAAATATAGTTTCACTAGCAAGACTTCTCAAAAATCAAAAAAAAAGATTTCTCAAAATTCTGCAACACAATATACTATAAAAGTGAACAGTGTAATGACTGTCAGAGCTGACGACATGGAGAATATCATCTATCACTCAAAATTAAAAAAGATAAATCAATGACACAACTTGGATAACTCCAAATCATGTCAATATCAAAGAACTGAACAAAGAAAAAAATAAATATTGAATAAGTTTGAAAAAATATTTGAGGGTCATCTCTTATATTAAACTTTAGAAATACATGTGTTCCTGATTAACCGTTTCCATGTGTTCCTGACTTACCGTTTCCATGTGTTCCTGACTTACCGTTTCCATGTGTTCCTTACTTACCGTTTCCATGTGTTCCTGACTTACCATTGTCATGGGTTCCTGACTTACCGTTTCCATGCGTTCCTGACTTACCGTTTCCCTGACATACCGTTTCCATGTGTTCCTGACTTACCGTTTCCATGTGTTCCTTACTTACCGTTTCCATGTGTTCCTGACTTACCATTTCCATGTGTTCCTGACTAACCGTTTCCATGTGTTCCTAACTTACCGTTTCCATGTGTTCATGACTTACCGTTTCCATGTGTTCATGACTTACCGTTTCCATGTGTTCCTGACTTACCGTTTCCATGTGTTCCTAACTTACCGTTTCCATGTGTTCCTGTGTCTCTTCTTTCTCCTGCTCCGACTTAATGGCCTTTGTGAGGCGAGCGATGAGTTGAGACTTCAGTCCTTTGGAGCTGAGTGTGCGACTTTCAAGCTCTTTTCTTAGGTCCACAATCTGTAAAAAAAAAAAATGATATCAAATTTACATCAGTTGTGATATAAACTTGTTTAACTTGAACAAGCTTGTCGAGGTTATCCGTCAGTTCATGCTTGATTACAGCCCATAGAAGTATTAAGTATACATGTACCAAATCAATCTTACCTTCATGGTCTTAGGATCCAGTTCTGAAAAATGTGTCGGTTCACTATTTTCCTCTGCATTTTCTTCTTCCTATAATCATGAAATTAGCATTAGCATTGAAGCACTGATCTTTATCTGCTGTAAATCAGTTGCACTTGCAAGACCATTCCAACGAAAAGTGACCGACACTTGTTCTATATGGATTGGGGGGGTTTCCTTCTGAAAATCACAGCATCATCCTTCACCATGCCTGTTACTTGTGAATATAATAAGTCTCATCAGCCTAAATGATTTACAAACCAAAGCTTTGTTGATAATGATTGATTGTGAAGACAGTAAGCTGTGATTTTCATTTCTACAACAGAGATTTTAGTATCTGCTTCTTTTTTTATACAAGGCAACTGAAACATTTCAATAGTCCACCTTGGTAAGTAGCTGCCACAACACTATACATCTTTTCTGGACAGAAGCCTGAAAGACGATCCAACATACACTACCATAGTTGTTTTTAAAGTTTAATATATTCTTAAGAAATGAGGAATAACATGTGCTACTTTATTTGAAATGGAATGGATTTTGAATATGTGACCTGAACACACTCAATCATTAGGAGAAGCACAGAAGACAAGCTAGACAAAGGGCAGTGTTACGAGGTTAAACAGAATGTTACAGGGTCAGCAAGGTCAGGGGTTACAGGGTCGGCAGGTCAAAGGTCATCTGCAGTCTGCTCCTACCTGTGGGGTTACTACAGTGACCATGACAGAGCTATTAGGGAGTAAATGTATCTGTTGTCCTATGGCTGTATGGGTACATCTCAGGCCTGTGTGTACTGTACCTGGCCACAAGGGCCTGCACTGTACATACGTAACACCTATAACTTGAGAAAAAAAATGAAAAAATATATATAAATGGTGGGTGCCTGTGAGTTGTCGTCCTTGTCGGAACTGGAAACAGTTGACAACTTCTTCTGAAGTTGTTTTTTGTAGGAGGCCTGCAAAGTCGCCCACTCGAGGCGGGTTGGGGTACAGCTCCACACATCGGGAAAGAAAATGACGGTGGTTTCTACCCTGGCCGCCACGTGTTTCCCCTTGTGGGTCTCCTCTGGCCGCAAGTACTGCATCTCGACAAAGCGATACCTGTAGGAGGGGTGGGGTGAAAACAGACCATTGTCAAAAGTTGTACAACAAACCATGTCAACAGTCCAAAGGTGATCATGCTCAACATACTAAATATCTACAGCATTCTACATATCACATCAACATATCAATTATTGCTGGTGAATAGGATTATAATCGTTTTTTAATCTTCCTACCTTTGTAGTTGACTCCCAAAGCTGTTCAAAAGTACTTACCTTTTTGCAATCATTGAAATATATGTGGAAGAGTTTTGTATTTTTATAAAAATGTAGATGAAAACATCTTTTGTATCAACATAATACAATTGTACTACTCTCTATTTAATAGTGCTAAGAAGTGAATTTGATTATTAGAGGAGATATATAAGAACAAAGTGATCAACTTGTTGAATATTTAGTAAGAGAAGATTTATCAAAATCACCTAGATAACCTATTTCACTGAATAATTTGTACTGTTAATTTGATGTTTCTAACTTTACCAAAATAGTAATATTGTCAAAGATTGTCTTTAATCAAACCAATTTGGGTTCCCATATTGTCAACATTTGTATCAAATTTTACAAACAGTCACTAAAAAGTAATCCTGTGTAAATATCCTCTGCTGTTCAATAATGACTGTGAATGTCACCTTTTGTTTAGTTGTGACTGTGAATGTCACCTGGTGTTTAGTTGTGAATGTCACCTTGTGTGTAGTTGTGACTGTGAATGTCACCTTGTGTGTAGTTGTGACTGTGAATGTCACCTTGTGTTTAGTTGTGACTGTGAATGTCACCTTGTGTTTAGTTGTGACTGTGAATGTCACCTTGTGTTTAGTTGTGACTGTGAATGTCACCTTGTGTTTAGTTGTGACTGTGAATGTCACCTTGTGTTTAGTTGTGACTGTGAATGTCACCTTGTGTTTAGTTGTGACTGTGAATGTCACCTTGTGTTTAGTTGTGACTGTGAATGTCACCTTGTGTTTAGTTGTGACTGTGAATGTCACCTTGTGTTTAGTTGTGACTGTGAATGTCACCTTGTGTTTAGTTGTGACTGTGAATGTCACCTTGTGTTTAGTTGTGACTGTGAATGTCACCTTGTGTTTAGTTGTGACTGTGAATGTCACCTTTTGTTTAGTTGTGACTGTGAATGTCACCTTGTGTTTAGTTGTGAATGTCACCTTGTGTGTAGTTGTGACTGTGAATGTCACCTTGTGTTTAGTTGTGACTGTGAATGTCACCTTGTGTTTAGTTGTGACTGTGAATGTCACCTTTTGTTTAGTTGTGACTGTGAATGTCACCTTGTGTTTAGTTGTGACTGTGAATGTCACCTTGTGTTTAGTTGTGACTGTGAATGTCACCTTTTGTTTAGTTGTGACTGTGAATGTCACCTTTTGTTTAGTTGTGACTGTGAATGTCACCTTTTGTTTAGTTGTGACTGTGAATGTCACCTTGTGTTTAGTTGTGACTGTGAATGTCACCTTTTGTGTAGGTTTGACTGTGAATGTCACCTTTTGTGTAGGTTTGACTGTGAATGTCACCTTTTGTGTAGGTTTGACTGTGAATGTCACCTTTTGTGTAGGTTTGACTGTGAATGTCACCTTTTGTGTAGGTTTGACTGTGAATGTCACCTTTTGTGTAGGTTTGACTGTGAAGGTCACCTTTTGACAGTGTGATTGTCACCTTACAGATAATCAAGTATACACATCAGAAATATTTCATCTCAAAGAGTGCACAGCATAGTTGAATGAATTACAGTTATAATTTATATAGTCTTTATATAATCCTTTTTCTGCTAGCAATTTAAAAATTCAATGCATTCACAATCACCCATGATTATCATCATATCCCCTTTACAGCGTTCAGTGTTCCGGACACTACAATGCACCAATAATCACTTAAAATTACAACTACAGTCGAAACCTCGTTATCTCGAACTCATATAACTCGAAGATCCGGTTTAACTCGAAGTATTTCATCGGTCCTGGCCAAAACTCTTCTTAATCTTAGTAATAAAAACTCTGATAATTCGAGCTCTGAAAACTCGAAAAACTCGGATATACCGAAGTGAAACATTGGTCTCAACAACGTAAATCCTACATAAAAATATCTCCTACCTCGAAGTTTCTTAAGATTCACAAGTCTATATCATATATTCTTTAATTATTTGATACATATGAGATGCAGTGCTACGGTAAACATTGTTCTCATAGAGCAGCTTACACTCCGTCATAATTACTTCGATTAAATTTATGGCATTAAAATGTGTTTGAAGAAACAAACTTCATCAATGTTGATTAACAACAATTAGTACTCATTGCGAGCCTGTAAACAATTTGAATAGCACTTTATTTACAACAAAGCTGCTGACACATTCTAACCTGAAGATGGGTCACAGTGTGCGGTCATGCATAAATAAGCTCCACAGTAAAAATCACAACCTAGGACTGGTTTGTTGGTTTATGTTTTTACAAGAGCTTGTATGGCACTGATCATTAATTGAGAGATTATAGTAACAATACGATAATTATTGTTGAGTACGTCGTGTTGAGGAGATGTCAAGTGTCATTGGGGTCTATAAATGTGGATATGTTTCCTGATTAACTCATACCCATTTTGGAATGTCGAAATCAACTGAGCAATCCAACGTGTACGTTCCAATACAGTGATTCGTATAAAGACTTGCCCACTTGCATTTCCGCATTGAAGTTTCTATCAGCATAGCACGAGGTCGGAGACAGCATGTGTGTTTATTGTAACATTAATTAATTAATGAATATGATTATGAATAAGTTGTTATTTTTTATTTTACATAGTTATCTTTTTGTCATTTATCAACTGTTTAAATACATTGATTGTCAGAGAAATCAATGACATATATAGCCTTATATTGGACCAAACACTTTACCAAGTTTTATGCCAAACATGGGAACTCGCTTAACTGGAATACTCGGATAACTTGAAGTTTCCCAACGATCCCGTCGACTTGGAGATAACGAGGTTCGACTGTATTACTATGTGCCGTATCATGTGTATACGAGTTGTAAGTATATAGTGATACAGACATTGTACACTCTAGTCCAGACAAACCCCCCTCCCCCACTTACATCCTCCTCCTTCCATGTATACACTGAGCCTTACCATTGTGTGCAGGCAGCCAGGTTGATGCCCGTTAGGGCCTTGGTGGTACGAATAGCTGTCTTTATCAGCACGCCTGGGTCTTCCCCTGGGTTAGGGCCATCCAATGAGGGGGACCAAGGCCCTCCAATGGCCATCGTCTCATTCTTCCCTTTCAGACCTACAAGGAAATTGAGAAGTCTAGTTGGATGGACAAATCCTTCCTGAGCATCTGGTGAGTCCTCAGCTAGGGCACATGACTTGTGGTATAGGTCCTCGAGGCTGGGACAGGATAGGAGCATCACCTGGCCAACAGCAAACAAACAGTGTTAAGGTTTTGTATTTCCAGGCTCTGATTGCTAAATGATATTTGTTTTTCCAGGAAGTCATCTTTTCAGGTTTGTTGTATTATACACTAGAAAATGTTTATAAAACATACTTCTGCCCCCTTAATTCCCTGCTTTCACGGAATAGGAGCTAAAATGTGAAGTCTCAGCCAAGTAACCTACATTTAATACATTAGCATTCTTATAATTTTATCTGCATATCAAATTTTATGAATGTTAGACTTATAATTCTATCTGCATATCAAATTTTATGAATGTTAGACTATAAGTATCAAAGCAATAGAACTTGACACAAAGTCTAACCATAGCATCATAGAAGATTGATGAAATCATTGACAAATATGGCAAACACTTCATGCCCCCTTCACTATGTTACAGGGGCATACTGACAAGGGCGTTAGTGGTCTTACCTTGGCACTAAATGCATGGTCACTATCTGGAGGGTCCAGTACAGCAGTTGAAGGTTCCACACTCTCCACATCTTTGTGGAACAAGTGAAAGGAACAGTGATTTCCGAGCTGGAATGGTCGCACAATGGGAAAAGCGTCCGTCCATGCAAAGTTGCCATTGAAAAAGTCACTTGGGATATACATGTTTGTGTAACGTGATTTCAAGGAAATCACATTGGCAAATTTCCTGAAAAAAACAATGTCCATATATTTTTTTAGAAGAAATAGTGAAGTCAGAAGTCATTAATGATGCATTGGGTTTACAATAAACATGATCACCATGCCTTAACCTAAAAGAACTAAGTTTGTCAAAATGGTGCTTCAAAATTAAATAATAGAGGGAACTTACATGTCAAATGAGATTTTTGGGACCTGCACAACATATCTCGGTACTATCCGAGGCCTTCTCCTGGCAGGACTACGCTGGTGTGTGGAATCATTGCGCTTAGCAACAGGAGATCTGGAGCGTGAGCGTTTCCTTGTAACCTGCAGGCGTTCCTGTCGCTCACGCTTCTCCTGCATCATCTCCCTCTTCCTCTCACGGTTCCTCTCAAATCGGGCAGGTTCGTTCCTCCTTGCTGAGGAAATGGGGCCTCGCATACCTGAAGCCGACATCAGACCTACAGCGTTGTTGTGAAACCATTTACAAATTATGTCATATTTTTAATTCATCAATTAATTCATAATTAACACACAATATCAAATACAAATAAGAGTTGTCTCAACTTGTAATACTTCTTTGCATATCAGGATTCGAGACTTAATCATATATAACCATTAACCCTAGGGTGCATGGTCATAAGGCAGATCTCAGTATTTCGGTTATACATGCACGTAGTAGACTCTCCCAGCTGATCCAAGACATTTCCCACCTTGGCAGAGACAGAGACAAATACAGAAAAAAAGACCGAGTAGAACTACTACAGAACTCTGTTCAAAATTAAACGATGACCAAACTGCTTCTATCCTTCTTTATTCTAAGGGAAAATAATGAGCCCAAAATTATTTTCTCCACTGACATGTTAATACTTTAACCCGTTTGAAAAAGATAGTCTTCAGTTGTTTTAACTACCGAGACCTTCCCTATCAGAATTGTTCAATAACTTCTGCATGTATATATGATAGGGCCTGCAGGTTGTGCCTCCTATCTTACCCATAAGTGTGCGGACACAGGTAATACACAGGTATGGACCAGTGGAAAGTATTTATGTATTAACATGCAGTGATGGAAAACAGAGTCAGAGTAACTGTGATGGAAAACAGAGTCAGAGTAACTGAGGCATAGCAGCTGGTATAAGGCACATTAATTGGTCACTCAGGAATGAGTGTCTCGGCAAAATGAGAAATGTCTATTACTACTCAGCACCAAGAACAAAGAGGGACATTTCTTTTTCTCAAGAAAGTATCACCATCTAGTGAACAGTTTTCTTGTAAAGGTCTTCACGTTTACATACAGATAATAATATATCGAAACATTGTTGAATGATTTAAAGCAATAATTTTTAAGGCTTGTTAGACTAGGAAAGGACTAACATTTGATGGTTGGAGTAAGACACACCCGGAGTATAAAGGGAGATACATTTTGAAGGTTGGTGTAAGACACACCCTGAGTATGAAGGGAGGTACATTTTGAGGGTTGGTGTAAGACACACCCTGAGTATGAAGGGAGATACATTTTGAGGGTTGGTGTAAGACACACCCTGAGTATGAAGGGAGGTACATTTTGAGGGTTGGAGTAAGACACACCCTGAGTATGAAGGGAGATACATTTGATGGTTGGAGTAAGACACACCCTGAGTATGAAGGGAGATACATTTTGAGGGTTGGAGTAAGACACACCCTGAGTATGAAGGGAGATACATTTTGAGGGTTGGAGTAAGACACACCCTGAGTATGAAGGGAGATACATTTTGAGGGTTGGAGTAAGACACACCCTGAGTATGAAGGGAGATACATTTTGAGGGTTGGAGTAAGACACACCCTGAGTATGAAGGGAGATACATTTTGAGGGTTGGAGTAAGACACACCCTGAGTATGAAGGGAGATACATTTTGAGGGTTGGAGTAAGACACACCCTGAGTATGAAGGGAGATACATTTTGAGGGTTGGAGTAAGACACACCCTGAGTATGAAGGGAGATACATTTTGAGGGTTGGAGTAAGACACACCCTGAGTATGAAGGGAGATACATTTTGAGGGTTGGAGTAAGACACACCCTGAGTATGAAGGGAGATACATTTTGAGGGTTGGAGTAAGACACACCCTGAGTATGAAGGGAGATACATTTTGAGGGTTGGAGTAAGACACACCCTGAGTATGAAGGGAGATACATTTTGAGGGTTGGAGTAAGACACACCCTGAGTATGAAGGGAGATACATTTTGAGGGTTGGAGTAAGACACACCCTGAGTATGAAGGGAGATACATTTTGAGGGTTGGAGTAAGACACACCCTGAGTATGAAGGGAGATACATTTTGAGGGTTGGAGTAAGACACACCCTGAGTATGAAGGGAGATACATTTTGAGGGTTGGAGTAAGACACACCCTGAGTATGAAGGGAGATACATTTTGAGGGTTGGAGTAAGACACACCCTGAGTATGAAGGGAGATACATTTTGAGGGTTGGAGTAAGACACACCCTGAGTATGAAGGGAGATACATTTTGAGGGTTGGAGTAAGACACACCCTGAGTATGAAGGGAGATACATTTTGAGGGTTGGAGTAAGACACACCCTGAGTATGAAGGGAGATACATTTTGAGGGTTGGAGTAAGACACACCCTGAGTATGAAGGGAGATACATTTTGAGGGTTGGAGTAAGACACACCCTGAGTATGAAGGGAGATACATTTTGAGGGTTGGAGTAAGACACACCCTGAGTATGAAGGGAGATACATTTTGAGGGTTGGAGTAAGACACACCCTGAGTATGAAGGGAGATACATTTTGAGGGTTGGAGTAAGACACACCCTGAGTATGAAGGGAGATACATTTTGAGGGTTGGAGTAAGACACACCCTGAGTATGAAGGGAGATACATTTTGAGGGTTGGAGTAAGACACACCCTGAGTATGAAGGGAGATACATTTTGAGGGTTGGAGTAAGACACACCCTGAGAATGAAGGGAGATACATTTTGAGGGTTGGAGTAAGACATACCCTGAGAATGAAGGGAGATACATTTTGAGGGTTGGAGTAAGACACACCCTGAGTATGAAGGGAGATACATTTTGAGGGTTGGAGTAGGACAAAACCTTGAATACAAAGGGAGATACATTTTGAGGGATGGAGTAAAACATACCTGGAGGTGGCTGGTTAGTCTGCATCAGAGACTGAAGGGGCTGATTGAGAGACATGTTCCCAACATGATTCAATGGTCCTGAAGGTGGCATGTTGGACGCCATGGACTGCATCATAGAATTGGCCACAGACATAGGGCCAGAAGGTTTGTTAAAACCACCAGCCATCCCTCCTTGTTGTGATCCCTGCCAATAGGTTTACAATATACTTCATTTCCCAGGTTTCTCCCCAAAAATAATACCACTTTTCATATATATACCTGGTACCACTTATCAAGTATATTGTTGTTCAAAATACAATAAAACCATGAATTTTTACTCTCACCCATGAATTTGTTATGAAATACAACTGGTTATTTCTTGTCAGTTATTTAGGATTAAAACAATGGTAGCACAAATTCAACACCTGATAAAAGTTTGGCATATCAAAATTATTACTTTTCACGATAATATATAACTACAGACAGTAGTATTTGTTCATCCAAGGTGTACCGGTAATTATACAAGCCATTTTGGTCACATGTTATGTTGCAGGGTATTTGATACAGAACAAGACAACATCTGACATTTTTAAGCTGAAACTTTCTACATAGGACTGTTGAAATAAGCGAGACATTATCTCTGACTTTCACACTTAACCTGATTAGGAAGTACTTGTATCCTGGCAGTATTCCATTTGAAGGGCATGTTGGCATTAAGTGAGACAATATCTCTGACTTTCACATAGGGCTGTAACGATACACCTATGCCACGATACGATACGTATCACGATATCTACCCACGATACGATACATTTTGATACGATACAGGAAGGCGAAATGTTATGCTTCCTCTTTAAATGCGTCGCCATGTTTGATGTGTTCCCCGACTTGTAACTTAAAGCTACGAAATATATGCGGCAAGTGGAGAGTGTTGCTACATTGATTGTACATAATGTAAAGGGACACCACTGCTGAATTAATTATTGAAATATAAATTAATTTACTTGATTTTTCAAATGTGCATAACTTGAAAAATATATGTTATATTTGAATGAAAGTTATATGAAAATTGTTCGTTATTGTCTGTAGTTTACATTAACGTTTTCAATTCTGAAGTTGCTTCAGTGTTTACCTGTACAGGTGTTAATAAAGATAAAAAAGGTGAAACTTTTAATTAATCGGATTTAAGCACCAGAAAGATAATTTTAAAATTATTTTTGTCAGCAAATGTGATTGGCAAATGATAACAGAGATTCTAAATTTCATTTATGACATAAGACGCTGTACATTTACACGGAGATTCTCAGGTAAAAAGGTCAGGTATTTCATCAAGAATAGCATGTGATTTGCTACAGGTTTCAAGTCGTCATTCAATATATTTACTGTCACAGTCGGCATATAGATATATATTAGCTATGGTCTAGTTTATGATTAAATCATCGATATATAGTTTGAAGAAATCAACCAGCTCAAAACGTATTTATGTCAATGTTCAAATCGGCCTCACCTGCAGACGACATGTGCGCCTCGGTCCGCCGATATTTTCCTGTTTGCGTAGGGCACAAAATTAAAGCCGTTCATTGGAAAGTTACATATTATGTTACACCGAAGTATTTCCACATCAACCGTGTCAAACCCTTCAAAACCTTTATTATCATCGTAGGTGACGCTGGAGAATAAATGTTTACGTTACACATGTGTGGTTAAATTCCGGAAGTAAGGAAATACTAAAAACCGAACCAACCGAAACACGGAAAATTATACCGTAAACCGAACCGAAGCAATTTAGCGCGGTTTTCGGTGCACCGCGGTGTATCGTTACAGCCCTACTTCACACTTTACCTGATTAGGAAGTACTTGTATCCTGGCAGTATTCCATTTGAAGAGCATGTTGGCATTAAGTGAGACAATATCTCTGACTTTCACATTCTACCTGATTAGGAAGTACTTGTATCCTGGCAGTATTCCATTTGAACTTTGAAGGGCATGTTGGCATTAAGTGAGACAATATCTCTGATTTTCACACTTTACTTGATTAGGAAGTACTTGTATCCTGGCAGTATTCCATTTGAACTTTGAAGGGCATGTTGGCATTAAGTGAGACAATATCTCTGACTTTCACACTTTACCTGATTAGGAATACTTGTATCCTGACAGTATTCCATTTGAAGGGCATGTTGGCATTAAGTGAGACAATATCTCTGACTTCCACACTTTACCTGATTAGGAAGTACTTGTATCCGGACAGCATTCCATTTGAAGGGCATGTTGGCATTAAAGGTGGCTTCCACAAGGACTCTGTCCCCCACTTTAGGTTGAGCACCTTTCACACAGCTTCAAAACAAAACAACAAACATTTTTTACATGCTCACTCTTTTGGTAATTATAAATGCAACAATAATATAATCTTCCCCTGCCCTGAGATTATTTTTCTACAGTAGTCTGTCATGTTTGTAAACAAAAACACATGTGGGGTAATCTGTATGCATATCGTCATTCACTTTTGATGACGTCACAATTACTTATGACGCATTTTAATGACGTCACAATTGAACATGTGCTAATCGGCACAAGGCTATCTCCCCCTAGGGGGTGACAAGCTTATCTTTCCCGGCTAAAACGGGAGACACACCTGTGAAGGGTGAGAGAAATTGTTTTCTTCACTCTTTAAAACGAAATGCCCTGGGGACAAAACACACCAATTTGATAAAGAACCTTTAGACCTTTCCACCATTGAAGAGTATTAAATTCTTCTGGGTATGAAAAAAAGCCCAACTCTCTGGCCCCTTGAAGGTTGGATCCACATAATTTTCACAAATTTGGTTTGCCTTTGACTAAGGAACCTTCCTACAACATGTTAATGAAATTGGTTCAACTGTTTTTGAGAAGAAGTCAAAAATGTAAAAAGTTCACGCTTGACGGAGAAGAGGGATGGCAATAGCTCCGTGAGCAATCATGTGGTTCACACAGTTAGCCCCTAAATTCCAGAAGCCCAAGCTGAAAATCTGGTAGCCCTGGGTGTAGGCTAGTGGAATTGTACACCCCTACATGAAGTTTATTGCTAAAGATATGAGAATCTTTCCTGTCATGCACTGGAGGATGAACACTTTGTTTATATGACACATGTTCTAGAGTCAAGATATGACATTTTATGCAGCATACCCATAAGTCCTTGTTTGATTTTATGTTAAGATTTCAATAATAACATACATGAAATACTTGGTCATGTAAACCAAAAATCTGAAATAACAAAAGCACTAAACCCAAACCAAATATAGACTGAACAGCCATTTTTCCTGTAGAATTAGACATCAATTTCTGTTGAAAAGCTGCATTCAGAACTCATATTTCTGTTTTACACATATGTCAATCATTACACACACCTTGTCTGGAAGAATACATCTTCATCCACAAAGCCAAAGTTATCGTGGAGTTTGGTGATGGTACCGGTGAAGACTCGCTGTTTGGGTCCCTGGGGCTGAGCTGCCCTGGGAGCAGGGTAGCTAACATTAGGAACCTGGGTGGTGGCCAGTGAGGTGGGTATAGCAATACCAGGCTGAGGAATCACAGGTCCTGTGGAGGCTGGTGAGGAAATGGATGGCTGCTGCATTGCCGCCTGAGCTGCTGCTTGCTGCTGAAACAATTAACATGATTGATCATAATTAGCTCCAATTATAATCTCCATGTAGTCCTGATTTTTTCCTCCCTACACCACTCACGTGCTAAATCTGACCTTGTCCTATCCATTTCTGGAACATGACTTTGCTCTACTTGTGTCTGACAGTGCTAGATCTTTGTATAACTTTGCTCTATATAGGCCTGATTTTCCTCTAATCACCTGTGATATTTACTCATTTTGTCCTGTCATTGTCAGAGCCATCCAACCTATTTCAGTTACCTACCCATGTCTATGTTGTCCTACCTTTGCCCGAGTTGCCCTATACATGTCCAAGTTGTTCTACCCAAGTCTGAGTAGCTCTACCCATGTCTGAGTTGCCCTACCCAAGTCTGAGTTGCCCTACCCAAGTCTGATTTGCCCTATCCATGTCCAAGTTGTTCTACCCAAGTCCGAGTAGCCCTACCAAAGTCCGAGTAGCCCTATCCATGTCCAAGTTGTTCTACCAAAGTCCGAGTAGCCCTACCCATGTCCGAGTTGCCCTACCCATGTCAGAGTTGCCCTACCCATTTCTAAGTTGCCCTACCCATGTCTGAGTAGCTCTACCCATGTCTGAGTTGCCCTACCCAAGTCTGAGTTGCCCTACCCAAGTCTGAGTTGCCCTACCCATGTCTGATTTGCCCTACTCTGGTCCGAGATGCCCTACCCATGTCCAAGTTGCCATACCATAACTGTACCTGTGCCTGGAGGCCGACCAGCTGCTGGGCTGAGTACTGAGGAGCAGTGTACTGGGGGGTGCCAAGGTTGGGTGTGGAGTTGTTGAGACTGTATATTGTGGGATTGGCCACCACTGACTGGGGGAGCATGGCACTGGCAACTTGACTCTGGTTGATAGAGTTGGCTGCAGCAATTGTATTTGTTGATGAAACATTAATAAATTCTGTAAAAGAAAATGTTTTTGGAGATAAGATACTTAAATTATCTGTACAAGAGCATACTTATATTTTTAAATTGCATCAAATATTTTATCAACTTCCAAAGAAGTCCCCATACAGGTAAATAAAACCTTTTTAATAGGGAAAGCTGTCAAGTCACTGGTCTAGTCTCATTTAGTTGTAGAATGATATATTACACATGCTCACCTGGTCATGAAAGTGAAATAACAACCATGATTTGGGAGTTTTAACTGAGAAAATATTTTAATATCAATGTATATCTCTGAGAAATATATATATATCAATATAAATGTCAAAAAAGTAATACAGGAGTAATGAGGCATATGTATGACTCTAACCAGCTTAGAGAGCAGATTCTGGACAATTATTAAACCAATTGATGACTTGCATATTATTGAATGTGCTTACTTTCCAAAGTAGACTTTCTGACACATCAACTTTGATACAGGTACAGATTGAGGTTAACCAATTATATCATACATTTAACCTTAAAGAATGGTGATCAGAAAACAAAGTAACTGTGATACAATTTATATCCCCTTGGCAATAATATTTGTTCATGATCTTGTGTTCAAAATGTGTGACTGCAGCTTCCTCTACTGTTAAATATTATTGACAGAAAATAAAAAATGAAAATAGATTGTCATCCAGCAGACTGAATCGGGACACGGACATCCACATACCTGACTGTTGTCTAGCCCATGGTGGGTTTTTTGTTCCCCCAAACTGCGCCATTGTACTACTGAAAAAAAGAAGAGAAAATTGTTACAGTACATTACATTACCACGTATTAACAGAGGTCCTTTTTTAGTTTCTGGGGGAAAATCACCATATCTGATATAAAGACTTTACTTAGTATAAGTAATCATGTACTTTACAGTTGTCAAAATAGCCTAACACTGCCAGAATAAACCAACAAGATATGTTTTCTCAGCATAACCATCATCATATAACATGGTAATGGTTTTAAACTACAGCAGCCTTCCATTGCATATTGCAACTGTTTTGTTGTGCCTATTAGCCTCAAGAATGAGTCTGGGAAACAATGATCAGCAATAAATCTTTAATCAACAAATTTGGACCAGTCAACACATCCCCTGCCCAAATGTTGGTACTGTATACATGTAGTTACTAGTGATTATCTATTGCAGGTATATCACTGCTTTTTCACCCTGCAGGTCGGTGATCGAGAAAAGAATACATGTACACCTGATTTCCTAGAACCTTGCTTGGCAACACCTCACTTTTGGCTTAAATGTTGAATATTTGCCCAGGTGAAGAAGGCCATGAGTTCTGTCCCCAGGCCAAGACATACCAAAGTCCTTAAAAATGGTAGTTGTTGTTCCCTCGGCATGGTATTTCAGTGAGATAGCACTATAAAGTCAGCATCAGATTTGCACCATCACAAGGAGGCAAGTACACTAACATACTCTGTCTCCTTGACACATACACACATGCACAACACACAAGAAGGCACATCCTTAAAGGACCTAGCTGTTAATAGGATGTTAAACAATGTAAAACCAAACTGCTTTTTGTGATTTTTCATTCATTGTTCAAAATTGTGATAAATATTGCACCAAAACTGCTTCCTAAAAGTATTGGAAAGTTTGTGGACAGTGAAAGAAAATATACCCAACAATTAGATGTGAAATTACAGTAATAATTCCTCTATTTTCAATGAGGCTATACTCGTCATGCAAATAATTAATTTAAATGGACATTTTTCCATAGCCCAGATTAGCATGTGGCAAAAACAATAACCAGAATATCTCCGACAAAGATCAATATATATGTACACAAAAAATGTTGGCCTACCAAATGCAAACATTGGATTGGATGACTAAGGTCAAGAAGCATGTTTGTTCTGACCTGTTAGTCTCACAAGTGATAACCGTTATACAATCCACATTATGTGCTTTAATGGCCATAAAGCTTAACACTGTTCAAGAATTATATATTTTAAAGCTCACTCCTTCAGAGGAAATAATGAAAAGCACCCTCTGTTTCAAAGCCGCCAGAGAGGAACAGCTGCTTAACAATGAAATAGGAAAGGATGAATGTTTAATTTCCGTCTTCCCTCCAGAAGCTACTGCATACATGTGTAAAATGCACATGTCTTTCAAAAGGGGGCCAGGGTTTGACTCCCCAATCGGACAGGAAAGGGATCAACTGCCCTACCACATGGCTTTTTTCTGGGTACCCAGTTTCCTCCCATTTCAAGACACCATGCATGCTAACATCAAGGCCAACAAGAGTGATTTATCATTAATATAAGTTGAAATAACTTATTTCATAATTGTTGTAAAAATAAACTTTATATATAATGCTTTATTTTGTTATGTGTTTCATGCGGCGATACTTTTTGTTATACCCGGTATATATATATATCATTGTTATGCCTGCAATTAGAAAAGCTTATTTATGTTCAATGTTGTTTTAGATTATGCTATGACAACATCATCGTCGGAAACCCACAGCTGATTTTGCTTTGCTACTCACTCGTCACAATGAGTGAGTAGCGAAGCGAAATCAGTCGTGGGTCTCTGATAGGCACGTCAATTGTCAGCAGAGGTCGCTCCAAGGTAGATAACTCTTGTACTTCTGTAATGTAAGAAAACGCCATGACACTTTCGCTGGTACTGCTGTATATGGTACCTTGGTTTGTTTAACAAAATGCTTGGTAATAATTGAATGACATCTACTCAGTTAGTTGGGGAACTCATTATCGTAGTATTATGTACAGTTCACACGAATGCTGACAAAGTAACACTTCTTTAGAGTATAAAAAATAACATACTTTTCATCCCAATCGTGATGGCGTTGCCCCAAGACGACCGCATTTTTTATTTTTCATAATTTTATTTGAGTAGTTAGCTTCCCATAGCTGATTTCAACTGGTGCATTAAAGAACGTAGATAATTTACAGGTTGTTTATAATGTGATTTGTTCGTGCATGTTGATGCACAATTTTTTCCCCTCTACCACAACTTCAGTTTGTGTTCGAGTTGCCTCCCCTGTGCTATAGTCGTTTTCAACAAAAAAAAAATCATGTAGGGTTAGTAAATGTCTATATATTGAACAAATTCTAAATATATTTTGTCCATGTTTATTACGATATGGAGAACAGTATTTTAATTGTTTAAGATAATTTCTTGTTAGTGACTGTTTAACATTTTATAATTAAGATTTAATATACCTGATATAAAAACTTACCATTCTTTCTATGGTAATGTGGAGTTTTCAGAAATAAACTATACTTCACTTTATGATGACAATATTGTAAGGGTTGTCTTCCTTGCTGTGATTTTACTTCAGTACTAGATATTGATTGCTTCCCTTGAATGTGAATTTACAGTTGACCTCAGAAAGTATGAACTATTAATAGCATACAATTGTGCAGGAACCAGTAAAAACCTGGCTTACTGTTCAATCAAGTGACCCATGAAGTATTTAAAAAATATCTTTTCACTGGTGAAAGAATTATTTTATATTTTTAGTTGACCCTGCTATCTCTGATGATGTAACAACCTATATTGTCAATTATATTTTTTGCCAGATATGTATATTTGACTCAGGTCTCTAACTATAACATATGCTGACATTCAGTGCTTAACGCTTTTATTTGTGTAAAATGCACTTGCCTTTCACAAAGATGACTGGGGTTTGACTCTCCAATTGGAAGTGAAAAGGAATGGGGGTCACCTCAGTCCTGCCCGACTAAGTGGGTTTTCTCTGTGTACCCGGTTTCCTCCCATATCAAGACACCATGCATGCTAACATCCAGTCCAACAAGAGCGATTTATCATTAAGTTAACATAACTTGTTACATAATCGTGTAAACAAATAAACCTAATAAAATGCCTTTTATTTTGTTATCTGTGATGCATGCTTTAGTCTGTGACATGCAGCTTGTTGTGATTTAGTATATATTATTGTGACTGTATGCCTGTAATTAGAATAGCTCTACTGAGCTAATGTTAATTATATGTAACAGGAAAGAGATTATAGAGTGCTTCCACCGGGGATCTAACCAGCCATCTTTAAGGTACCTAGACGGACGCTCTACCATAGAGCTTAAAAGGGAAATTTCCTCCAACTCAAAGGTGACCATAATCCTATGTACAATCAAAATCTGCCACACTACTCCCCCCTTTTTAAATGAGTTCACCCTCGAACACCACAACCCAGGTTCTAACTTCTTGTCAACACAGGGAGTGTCATGGACATCATTTATAACAGGAAATAGAGTTTAGTGTGCTTCCACTGGGGATTGAACCCACGATCTCTAGGTTCCTAGTCGGACGCTTTACCACCGAGCTTAAAAAGAAATTCCCTGTAGCTCGAAGCTAGAAAGCAACTGTTATCCTATGTTAATATCAGCCACTTATAAATTGTTTGTTGAAAACATGACACCACAAACATTCTTGTAACCATCCGAGAAGCATTGGTTGTCCTATAATCAGGACTGAGCATCTTTCAAAAATCCCTTTAGATTATTTAGAACATATCTTGTAAGAATTTGATTTTTGTGAACCGTTTAAACTGAACACTTTCATAAATTTATGTCATCATAATTGGGGACTTGTTTTTCTACAAAATATGGTCCGATCTTACCATTGTTCTGTTGTTGGTTGCAATATTATCAACTACTAGGTTTTTTTTTAACTTTTTGTCTGTATTTCTTAACAAGTTTTAAACGATTGCTGACGTGGATTTTTGCATCAACAAGAGAGAATGGATTTATCTGAGACTGTACGTGAACATTAGTAGACAAGCGGAGTAACGCCAAGGCTGCCAGAGTTATGATGGCGCCATGTCATGTGGTGACGCCGACATCCCGCGTTCGGGAGCTGACATTTGTCAATGCTGATGACAGCTTCACACGGTTACCAATCATCAAGATTATCAATTTTTACAAAATAGTACATCACTTACCAATGATAATCACATAAAAGAGGTTAATTTATTATTGTCGGCCTATATCTCCTTCCTCCCACGGTCAGCAATCGTTATCTTCCACACGCTTGTTTGTGGTAAATATAGATATTACGACCCCCAAAAGAAAAACGTAACGCCATATGATTAAGATAGGTAAAAAAAAGAAAAAAAATCATTTGTCCAGTGATTGATGTAACGGGCATTAATCTGAATACATATAAAATATTTTGCAAAGTGTTATTTTAAATCACTAATCTATGAATATCATCGAGGGAAAAATGCGATCTGCTCAGCACATGCCACTTTGGCTAACTTTTTTATGCTTGCTCTTTTTGTCACACAGGTATCCCCAAAAATCTTTAAAAGTAATAAATATAAATAACAAAGAACAAGCTAAGTTGTTCATTTTATTTTTAGCACAACCGGAGAAAAGAAAGGGAATTTTTGATTAGAAAGTTTGTTTAAGGATGTACACCACTGAGAAGTCAAGCATTTTCTGTATCAAACTTTTTTTCTTATATTCATTTTTTAAAGGGAGTTAATGACATATAATATAATAGTAGAAAATACAAAAATAAAATATCTCCATGTGGTTTTTTTCTTCTTTCTATGATCGGTAAAAGATACCAATTTAACAAAATATGTGATTTAAGGTGTGTGTTTTTTTTGGGTTTTTTTATCGCAAAAAAATGACTTGAGTTACACCTACCCCTGTATTTCTTAATGAAAAAAATGTTTTTCAAAAGTTTTTGCAGAATTTAACGCTTGATATAAAAAGTTCTGCTATTAAACTTTTTTTAATATTTAATGAATCGAAAGAAAATGAGTTTCTTTCTAAAACATCCACAAAAATGCCCAATTATTATAAGAGCTATATTTCACCCTTTTCGGGGTCAAAAATTGAATTGCTTCACACTAAACATGTAAAAAATAAATATCAATTACGTATTATTATCCATTTTGTTGGAAATCATTTTCATCATTTTGAACACAATAAAGTTTCCCAGCAAAGAAATTACCTTGCTACAATTAAAAAAGCGACACAATGACGATTTACGTGATCAATCTAGTATCAAAAAAGTGTAATTTTGGTCTTTCGTAAAGCGCAAGGAATACATATTTTCAAAATGGCCGCCAAATTGGTATATATATTTTTTTTTATTCTTGTAAAAAATTATCTACACACAACAGGCATTTAGTTTTTACACATATATGTGTGGCCTCTCCGTGACCATGTCGACGGGAAAGTCTCACCATTTGCTTCGAATGGAAAAGAACTCGAAGTTGCGATGTGGCAAATGATGTTTGATTATTGATGCTCAAGCATGGTTTCTGTGCTCAAACCATCTTTTTTGCAACCCGCTTAGATAATGTCAAACGATCAAAAAGTCAAATGTAAACATTGAAAACAGTATTTGGCTTTAAGTTTCTTCAGAATGTTTCCAAATCATTGACAAACAAGATTTATTTATTAAGTTATAACAAGAACAAGAAATTAGGCTTGAGCACACAATCCATACTTGAGCATGAGAATGGTTTCATGAATATGGGCCCAGCTGAGAATATTATTGGACCTGTAGGGTGTAGAATGCGAGAAAAAAAGGACACAAAGTCAAAGTTGAGAATAATCATTGATGACAGCAAGTGTAGACTGAGACACAGAAGAAGGAGCACGACAACGGAACTACTGCCATGTTGGCAATTGTTGCTCGGCTGATTTGGTTGATCATAAGGGAGATGACACTAAGGAGCTGGCAGTAAATAAAGAGTCCGACACTCAGGAAACCACAGGAAAGAAAGATTCGAAGATGTCAGCAAAACCCAACAGCAGTAATACTAGTACTGTTCTAAAGAAATAATTCAACGTGAGTGGCATAACGGGCATAGACTGACTAGCATTACATGTATCCTATATTCTAGTCCGATACAACAAGTGAACATTCCACTAGAGAGAGAGTATTCAGTTACTGATGTGATAGATGGTATACTGAAAGCGTTACTGGCAACTTCTGGTTTGAGGAACTATCTAGAAAGCCGAGATGTACTGGACTTGACTACGTTAAACGGAATCTCACGATCATTTTATATGAAAAAATGGCACTGAGCTTTATAGTGATTTGGACTCATTAACAACACAGTCATCAACAGAAACTCCACGTGAATTCTTATAGAGGGCTATATATATTGGTCTTAGTAACAATATATTGTTTGCAAGTGAGGAAGGAAATGATTTGAAGCAATTCAAAGAATTGGTGGAAGACTTGTTAAGGCGGACAGTGTATTGACGTATTACATTAGCAAAGCTTGATGCGACAAGACAGAGGTGGGTGTCGGAATTGGCTGATTTCACATTCAAGATTCATTTCAGACCAGAAGCTGATGCTGACACTCTAGGATCTCCCTTGACGTTGAGGCATTACAAACGCGGTGTACTGAAGAATTAAAAATAAGATATCTCTGCAGTCTTCGAGATAGTGGCTTACATGGAGGAGTTGATCCGTTGAATTCCAAATTTAGCTGAGGAGTAGGAAGAGAAAACCAGCTTTGGATGAAAGTCACTTGGGTCCCTTTCTCGCAAAGACATTTTCGCAGCTCAATATAAGGATTGAGTCATGGACAAAATGAAATGTTGGGCCAAAAAAGACATGATTCCGACCTGAAACAGTTAAAGCAGGAGCACCTCGTGTTCGATCGATGGATAAAAACATCGTTGTCACAGCCAGTAAAGCAGGTTATCTTCCTCCGAAGCTTAGACCAGTAGTCTGATTGGCCATCTAGGAGCAGAGAGAGAGTTGTTGATTTGGCGAAATATTGATTTCTTTGGTCAAGGATGGTCAAAGATATTACACATTTTGTGAGAAGTGTTTGTACATGTACATGCATAAAAGACAAGAAGCCAACAATCCATTGACATGCGAGACTGCAGTCGACACAGTTGTCTTATTCATTCTAGATGAATTCCAGGTGGACTACGCCAATCTCAAACGTTCATAGGGTGTGTGTGGTAGTATATTAGTCCTGGTGGGCCACTTCACCAGAAACTTCCGTCAGTGAGATGAAACCCGTAAGGGCGGATTCATGTAGGCGCGAAACCCGTCATCCATCCATCCATCCACTTCACCAGATTTGCTCAAACATACCCAACGAAGAACAGGTCATGTAGAACTGTAGCCGATCGTCTATTCAACGACTTCATCAAGAGGTTTGATTTCCCAGAGCGGATTCAACATCATAAAGGAATGGAGTTTGAATATGATATATTGTAGTCAGTTGCGGAAAAGATCACGTATCTCGTACCACACCTTATCATTCAGCTGCGAATGGGCGACGTGAGCGCCTGAACTGAGCGATGTTATTGTGGGGAACCTGTCGGAGCGAGGCGGTCAATGGAAACTGAAGTCATACTCGAAATACAGGATCCACGTTGTAATGTCTTAGGGTGTCTTCTGACTCGCCTGTATACGAGGTTGAACCGGATGATGGATCAGGCCAACGACGTGTACTGCACCGGAATCTTGTCTTCCAGTACGACTGAAGCTAGACGAATCCGGAGGTATAGTCGCACCAAGGGGACCATTACAAAAGCATTGAACAAAGGTCTTAATTTGCAAGGTCTCAGTCAGGTCGTTCATTTATGGAGCATACGATGGATTCCCAAGTGTATCGTATGCAAACATTTCAGGCGGCCTTCTTTGCCTAGGTCGTCCGTTGTATTCACCGTTCTTATCGTCTTCAGACGATAACGTCTGTTAAGGTGGCTCCACCCATCGTCATCAGCGTCCATTTTCGTGACGTACTTCCGGAAAAAGTACAGCTCGGACTCAATTATATT